ATGTAATTAAAGAATTGAAACTAATTATTAAAGTTATTATAATAATCTATGTAATTAAAGAATTGAAACTAATTATTAAAGTTATTATAATAATCTGTGTAATTAAAGAATTGAATCTAATTATTAAAGTTATTATAATAATCTGTGTAATTAAAGAATTGAAACTAATTCTTAAGGTTATCATATAACATATGTAATAACAGATTTAAAACTAATTCTTAAGGTTATCATATAACATATGTAATAACAGATTTAAAACTATTTCTTAGTTATTATAGTAATCTACAATAAAATATCTTTAACAAATTCTTAGTTGTTATAATAATCTATGTAATTAAAGATTTTAATATAATTCTTAAAGTTCTTGTGGTAAAGAGGAGTGAAATTAAAATAATGTTAAAAACATTTCTCTGTCAAACATATTTAACAATATATTTTCGAAATATAGATACTATTATCAAACATTTTATTATCTTTATTGTTAATTGTTGAAGCTCAATAACAATTAGAGTGAAATAAATTAATTGTATTATATGGCCAATTAGCCAAGCTAACCGGCAATGAAGGATTAAAAACATATTGCTATGGAGGGGTGGTATTCTCCTCCTACAATTTCACTCAGGAGGAATTATTCTGATGCAAAGGTATCAGTGATACACATGGCATTATAGGTCACTTTCATCTGTCTTTACTTACTTTGCTACTGATATTTGTGCTCAATTGAACCCTTATTTATGGCATTAATGGGGTAAAGTTGAAATGGCTTCCAAACTCAAACCATTCCTCCCATTGTTTGTCTACATAAGTTTGATCGGTAGAGGGTTCATTTAAATCCCTCCAATAAATTCATTCGACATTAGTTTAAGCAGTTGTTATATTTTGAAAACCCTAAAAATCAATTTGTAAGTTTGTAATTTGTGTTCTTGTTGATTTCAAGGTGGATTAAATTTCGCGCCGTTCTCAACAAACATTTCTAAGTATTTCAAGATGGTACTACCAGCTTTGAATATAATTTAAATTTACAAAGTATAGGCAATGTTCACCCATTACTTCTCAAAGTAGATTTGATTGATATCATTCATTTAGTTTTTAGCATTACTTTTAAACACTTTTTGTAGGTTTAATTGAAATTGATATTATTGCTTCTCACAATATCTTTTACTTAAGTTTATTGGAAGAGACACTATTAATCCCAACCACGCATACAATCAAATATATTGATGGAAGGGACACTATTAATCCCAACCAATATATTTGATTGTATGCGTGGTTGGGATTAATAGTGTCCCTTCCAACAATATATTTGATTGTATGCGTGGTTGGGATTAATAGTGTCCCTTCCAACAATATATTTGATTGTAGGTTTGGCTGGGATTAATAGTGTCCCTTCCAACAATATATTTGATTGTATGTGTGGTTGGGATTAATAGTGTCCCTTCCATCAATATATTTGATTGTATGCGTGGTTGGCATTAATAGTGTCTCTTCCAACAATATATTTGATTGTATGTGTGGTTGGGATTAATAGTGTCTCTTCCAACAATATCTTTTACTTAAGTTTAGTTGGGATTAATAGTGTTCCTTCTAACAATATCTTTAATTGTAGGTTTGGCTGGGATTGATATTGTCCCTTCTAACAATATCTTTCATTGCTTGCTTCTTTGACTTCGTTATGAGCAACAACCTGAAAACAACTAGATGGATCAATTCTTTTCCTAAATATGTGTGGAAGTTTTATGGGAACTTGCTTTATCAAGGTAAGTGGAACAGCTGTTGATTTCTTATTGATGTCACAGTAAACATGACGAACAGTTCCAGAAACTGGTGATTATAATGAAACAGCTGTTGATTTTTTTTGTAATAAGCAAGAAAAACATGCACGTGTAAAAGCAGGTTACGTTGAATTACTGTATACTGTACACCCGAAAGTTTAACTAATGACTTTTTTCTGTCTACTATAAACCTGTAAAGCCAGATTAAATTGAATTACTGACTTTCTTCTTGTTAGATATACACGACTGTTTCAATTCAAGTATAGCGCCAGTGTTCAAGTTATTTCTAAAAGCGATAGTTTATAGCGGGTATGTTTACATAACTATCTGCGAATTATACGTTGTGTATTTCAGTAGTTATGAATTGGCGATTGATATATTATTGCGTCATGTTACTAGAACCTTGTCGTTTTAATTGAGTATCATTGCATCATAATATCTAGTAGGTGCGACACGTTCTAGTTCTCTGTCAGTCAATAAATACGCGTCCAAAATGCAGTTCGAAATAGATATATTAACCTAAATTGTATAATTGTGAATTTAGCCATAAATAGTTTATAGCTGCCTAAACATGTAGAGCACCACCTCCTGTGTGTGTTCACTGTGGGAAAGACAGTCTTTCCTCATCTATTTTCCATGCGAACGACGAACACGAATCCTACCATCAACTTCAACAAGCTAGAAACAGAACTCATCTGAAAAGATGACATGTCACCAGTGTCCTAACTGAAGGATGGCATTCTATTTCACCAAAGTACAACGGTGACGGCGGGGAATTATGGCTAATATCAGTTTACAGATAGCACTTATTGAAAATTAACCTTGTTCAGTTAGTCTCCTATTCACTGTTCTTCTGGATAACCTGTAATAATGTGTTAATGCTATTCCTGTCGTAAGGTGTTGTAAGACTTCTTTCGACCTTGACGTGTTAATCTGGTCAGTATTTTTGGCGTCTACTAGTATACTTTTCTCAAACAACGTTTCATGTAGTCCGGTGACGTTTCAGGACTCTGGATACAGTACACTGGGGTATCCTACCGTTCTGGCAATGTCCATTTGCTTCATAGCATATCTGGATAGTTGAACAATTTGACACCCTATAACTTCTGGGACATGACGAGGCATCACTTTACACCAAGTACAGATAAATTGTTTGAACAAAGCGTTGATCTGTTTCGAAAAATATTATACAAATAGCACACCCTTTTATATAATACAATGTGTGTTTAGACGAACAAATGCTCAAAACAACTTATACAGACCAGAATAACAACTCGTACATATTTGTCCGATCATACGTTACCTTCTCTGTTACTACTCGGGCATTTACTCAATAACTATTCCACGCATGTAGACAATAACATCAATATAGAACAGTATGCAAACATTTTAGCCAAGACTATTTTTTATTATTTACACTTTAAATTATTCTTTTACGTGCTATCTTTATGCTGACGACAAGAAAAGAAAGTAAATAATTACATTCTATTTAGGATCATCACACGAGCAAATCCTACACCACCAAAGGGTTCTTCAGACATTTTGGTGGTTGACTGTAATCGTTATAATGCAAAGCTTCAGTGGGCACTTGATGGCTATCTTAGTAATGAAAGCAGATGTTCAAATAAACAATCTGAAAGATCTGGAAAAGTCTGGTATCTTGCCTGGAGTTGAAAAAGGATCGTCTTTACATTCAATGTTCATGGTGAGTACAGATATATATACATGTATATATATAGTCTGAAAGATCTGGATCAGTCTAGTCTCTTGCCTGGAGTTGTAAAATGATCGTATTCACATTCAATGTTCATGGTGACTACAGATATATATATATATATATAGTCTGAAAGATCTGGATCAGT